CCCCAATGTGGTTTTCTAATTTTTCTAATATCCCACATTTCTAGATGACAACTGGGGTTTGTGGTTTTTGTTTTTTTCTTTTTTCTTTGTTTTACTTGAATGTCAGGCAGTCACCTTAAACTCAATATTCTTTGTAAGTCAATCTCATTGCCTTTATCTGCCACACCTCTTTTTGCCCTTTTTCTCTCTGTCAATGGTGGCATAATTCTGTCTCCAGTCATGAAAACTTACAACAGTGGTTCTCAACCCTGGCTGCACGTTAGCCACCTGGAAGCTTTTGAAAATGCTGATGCCACCATACCAGTGAAATGAGTCTCTGATTCAGGGTTGGAAACCACTGACAGTATCACCTGCTCTCTCATCTGCACTTCCCTAGCTGGCTCCTGCACCTGTCCTATCTATTTTCCTTGGATAGAAAGCTAGGCTTTTCTTTGCCCAAAGCTATTTGGGCCTGGGGAAGAGCTTGAACCCCAATTGGGCTGAAGGTTCTCTTTCAGGAGTCATTAGCCATGGGGAGTTAAGGGAATAGATTACGTAAGGTCTGGGCTGCTTGGGTGGAGTCTGCATTATGAGAGAGTGTCTATGCCGTGGGTCCACCTGTAACAGCCTGTCAACAGATTTTCCTGCCTTTACACTCTCCTACCTTTAGTCTCTCTTGCATAATATAGCTGCCGTGTCATCTCCCTAAAACACCTGATTCAATAGCTCTAGGGTAGTTTCGTTATAGGTTTAAATTTACAAGACTAATACTTGCAAAGCATTTTTATTCCTGCTAGCAATTATTCCTACAAATCAGGTAACAGTGCTCAGGTGGGACACAGAAGCCCAGGGTGCAGGCCTCCTCCAGGCCCCTTCCTACCTGAGGCTCAATTCCAGGCCCAGATCAAGTTCTGCCTCCTCTAGATAAGCTTCCCCTGGTGACTACAACCCTCACCTGCCTTCTCTTCCTTTGAACTTTTGTGGCCCTTTCTTTCTATAGTAATCCTCAAATGTGTTGGGTTATTTTTGACTATTCAGGCACATAATTTCTTATTTCCCTGACCTTGGTTTAACCTCTATAAGGCTAGGGACTGGAAGATACTCTTTTCGAGTCCTCAGTAGCAAGATGACATGCATACATGAAGGGATAACCTTATTATTTGTTAGTCAAATGAACAACTATGAACTCATTGTGCGAAGCCTTAAAGATTTTACATGAATGTCTTCAGCAAGTAATCTTTTGTGTGCAGGGAACATAATTCCATTCAAACTAATCTAATGAAAAGGGAGTTATTCTAAGGATACAAGGGGATCTCATGGGACCAACTGCAGAAAGGCCTCAGCGTGGGAGAGTCGTCTGCAAACGCTTGGGTCTCAGTCTGTCATCATTGGAATCTGCTGTTCTCCTTAGTCTCGCTCCCCCTTTGCTCTCCAGGCATCTCTTAGACTGCTGCATTCATGTCCTGTGTGCACATACGTGTGTGTTGCTCAGCTGTCCCTCCCCTGACCTTCTCTTTCCTCCCTCCTGCCCACCTACCCTCCCAGGTTTCAAGTCCTCACAGGCCCAGGCCTTTCCTCACCTCTGCCTGTCTCTCCACTCTTTTCTGTGCAGATCAGGTTCGTCCATAAGGCTGAGTTTCTGCCTCTGTGAGTGTAGTTTTCCGAGGGCTTTGACTCCACCCAAACAGCCCAGACCTTATGTAATCTATTCCCTTAACTCCCCATGGCTAATGACCCCTGAAAGAGAACCTTTGGCCCGACTGGGGTTCAAGCTCTCCCCCAGGCCCAGAGCTTCGGTCTGGAGGTGATAAAACTGTGGGTCATGAAGGTCAACCTCAAAGGTGAACTTAAACAGAACTATGGTGTGCCTGCCCAAGCGAGTAAATGTCATGTACTAGCCACCCTTTACCATGTGGCTTTGTTTTGCCCATAAAGGGGGCTGGAGATATTTTCTCACCCATTGTCTATGAGTCCATCCACATGACGTGCTTCAGTTCTGTAAGTTGGAACTGACAGTGTGCAGGTTCCAAGCCTAGGCCTCAAGAGACCTCACGTATTGCTCCCTGTGCTCTGCTATTGCCACAAGGACCACATTTCTGCATTAGTCTGTCTCAGGAAGAAGAGAGATGTGAGGGGCAAAGCTGAGCCATTCCAGCTGAGCCTGGCCTCCCATCAGCTGACCCATCAGCCAATCCACAGATCTGTGACCATAAATGACCATAAGCCAATAGCTCTAGGGTAGTTTTGTTATGCAGAAATTTTGTGGCAATAGCTAGCTGATACACCCTCTTTGCTGGTGCTTCCCCTCGGCCAATATACATGCTCAGGTCTCTTTGTCTTAGCCTATTTTTGATAAAAAGGAATACCTGAGGCTGGGTAGTTTCTTTAAAAAAAAAAAAAAGAGGTTTATTTGACTGATGATTCTGCAGGCTGTACAAGAAGCATGGTGCCAGCATCTGCTTCTACTGATGGCCTCAGGAAGCCTCCACTCATAGTGGGAGGGAAGGGGAGCTGACATCACATGGTAAGAGGAAGGGAGCAAGAGAGAGAAGAGGAGATGCCAGGCTCTCTTAAACCAGCTCTCGCATGAACTAACAGAGCAAGAACTCTGAACTTGCTTCTGAATTCACAGTCTACCTCAGGATGGCACCAAGCCATTCATGAGGAATCTGCCCCCACTAACCAAACACTCCCATGAGGCCCTACCTTTAACAATTTGATCCCTATGAATTTGAATTTGGGGGTCAAATTTCAACCTGAGATTTGGAGGGGAGAAATATTCAAACTATATTACTCTCTCTTCTCGTAATCAGACAACTCCCTTTTATGCCTCTCAGTCATTGCTGGATCTCACTCCTTCCCTTCATGGCCAAATTCACTGAAAAGATTAGTCCATGATCTTCTTCTAGTTTGCCTGTTCACACTTTCATCATCATCACAGAAATTTTAAGCATATACAAAAATAGAGTAGTACAAAGAACCCCTTTGGACCTATTATCCAGTTTCAACAGCCAATTTTTTGCCATTCTTGTTTTATCTAACTGCCTCCAGGGCCAATCTACGACTCACAGACCTCAACGTCAGCATATTCAAAACTGCTCTCCCCACTGACCTCAGGGTTTCCCTGTCTCCATGAGCAGTGCCACCATCCACCCAGCTGAATGAACCCATGGCTCCTTCCCTTCTCTCACCCTTGCATTTATGAAATGATCTGTCACTGTTGATTTTATGTCCCCGTCTTCAGTGACACCGAAGGGAGGCTCTGATCCTCTAGTTCCCATAGTCAGCTGTGATTCCATCAGAAAAGGAGTGTCCAGAGAGCAAACCAGCCACCCCCTAGTCATGTGGAAAGAGTCCTGCTCAGGGGCCATTCTCCCTCAAACGGTTCCACATCTCCCCAGTTCTCCCATTAGTCTGCCAAGACTGGGCCTTCTTTCTATACCATCTGAGTGAGTGTGATTTTATCATGGGCATAGCATGTGGAAATCCATGTTAGCCTCCCCGCTTGCCACTATCCAACTTATGAATGAATTTGCATCAAATAGAAAGCCAAGATCCCTTCCGGCTCTGACATTCTGATTCTTTGACAGGAAATAGGGAGATGGTAAGACTTTTTTGAGCTAGAGGTTGGCAAGATAAATGTGATACTTCCAGCTCTAACGTTCTATGATTCTATGATAAGAAAGAGGGAGGTAGTGATAACTTTTTGAGTCAGGGCTTGACAGGATAAATATGGTGCTAAAGCAAATAAGGATGTAGAATAGGATTAGGAGAGAGTCGTAAAGTAGGAAGGCACACTACTCTCCTGACAGTATCATCATTATCATCACCAGAGTAGGAGGTCTGGACTCCAGGGTGTGACCATGGAACCAAAAAGAAGGGGACAGGTAGAAGAAATTTGAGTGTTTAGGTTAAATGGCAATTCGGCAATGGTGGTGGTTGGAGGCACAGGCTTTGGAGGTTGGTAGACCTGACTGAATCCTGGCTCTGGCATTTACTATTTGACCTTGAGACAGATATTTAATCCCTCTGGAGTTCAGGTTTTCTGTACAATGGAAATAATATTTATGCCACATCATGGTCGTGAGA